AATTAATGTCGGTTGCAACTAAAGTTGGTATTCAAATTAATGCAAAATTAGGTGGTGAAATATGGGCTGTTCAAATTCCAGTTTGTCTTTTTTTTTTTTTGATAGTAAATTAAGTTTCTTTTCTTTTTGGTTTCATAGTCAAAAACTATAATGGTTATTGGTATTGATACATATCGTGATTCTCAATCACGTTCATCTCAAATGATTGGTTTTGTTGCATCAATAAATCCAACATGTACACGTTATTATTCACGTGTTATTGAACAACGAAGTGATAAAGATCTTATAACAGGATATAAATCATGCATGCAAAGTAATATAGAATTTTGCTGTTTTTTTTTGTTTTGTTTTATTAATCATAATATTTCAAATTATGTAGGTGCTCTTCAAAAATATCATCAAGTTAATGGTATGTTACCAGCAAAAATTATTATTTATCGAGATGGTGTGACTGATTTTCAATTACTTGATGTTATTGAAAATGAATTACCAGTATTAAATGAAACTTGTATGAAAGCACAAGAAGGCTATGAGTAAGTTTTGAATTTAGTTAATTATTTATTCTCCTATTTTGTGAAGCATGATCTAATAGGTATATTGAAGCACATAGCCTTTTTCTCTGATCATACTTGTTATAGTAATGTTCAGATTCCGTAAGTTCTGAACGTCCGAAACTCTCTAAAGTGCACCTGTACTAACGAACCTTTCTTAAGGATGTAGTTGTGAGGTCGTGAATTTCAATTTCGGTTCTCTCTACTTTCACAATTACACACATATTTGAATATTCACGGAAAAACATTGTACTATATATTTGCCATTTTTCTGATAGAATTTTTGATATACTGAATTTCTGGATGTAAGATATTCACTGTAACTGTTTAATATTTGTGAATAGATAATGTGTGATGATGTTGATTTTCGTATGAAATGTCAGAGTTGATCAATTACCTAAGTTTCAACAAATTTTTGAGTTTCGAAGGTTTCGTAAATAAGTTTTCATTTTTGAGAGTTCTGAGAGTTTAAAACTTATGGAATCCAGATCTATCTTGCTTGTTGAGAGTAAGTTTTGTTTTCTCATTTTGATACACATTGTTTCTTTTTCTTTCATCGAAGTATATTTCATTTTTTTCGAAGCACAATCAAAACTATGTTACTTTAGCTAAAATTATATCATGTATGTTTTCGTAAAGATCCACTGTCTGAAAATCAGAACTGAGAAAATTCAAGATTTAGAGTTTGGCAAGCATTTAATAAGTAAATGACTTTTTTTTGACGCTATCTATAGACATATATATATTCGTTTTTGAGAAATCTAACAGATAGATAGAAATACCTGTAATGTGATATGACATTTTGTATATTTGTAAAAACCTGAGTGCAAAAAATTTGAATGGTTTTTTTTGAAACCATTTCTATTGATTGATTAATAAGGATCCAAAAAGTCGATCAGAACAGTTTTTAATCGATTACAACTCAGGGTGACAGACGTTGTTCATATACAATCATAGACTGTATGTGAACAACGTCTTTATGTCATTTATGGAGAATTATGTAGACGGATAGTAAAGAAATGGATCTTAAACTAGATAGAACAAAATAATCTCTTCATGATTAATAACAGCAGCTAAATTATGTTTCATATTTTTATTTTACATACATTGCGCTAACTACATTTATTTTTAGTCCAAAATTAGGTATGATTATTGTCAAGAAACGTGGAAGTGCTCGATTTTTTGCTCGTGATCCACGTAACAATCGTCAATTAATCAATCCACCACCGGGTACAATTATCGATCATACTGTTACTAATCAAGGTATTTTTAATTGAATATTTTTTTTTTAAATAAACAAACTGTATAAAATGCATATTATAGAATGGTATGATTTCTATTTGATATCCCAAATGGCTCGTCAAGGTACTGTTGCACCAACACATTTCAATGTTATTTGGGATCGAACTGGGTTTGTATAATCTTTCGATTATTCTTCAATCAACTTAGTTTTTGTTTGTTGTTCTAGATTAAAGGTTGATCATATGCAACGATTAACACAAAAATTATGTCATTTGTATTACAAGTTAGTTGTTTCTTTTTTTTATTTTAAAAATTTCTTTTGATTAATTAATTTTACTTTTTTGTTTAGTTGGCCTGGTACAATTCGAGTACCTGGTGTATGTCAATATGCTCATAAATTGGCTTTTCTTGCTGCTCAAAGTTTACATACTCAACCACATGAGAATTTAGCAGATAAATTATTTTATCTTTAAAAAAAAAAAAGAAATAGTATATTTATGTGATTTTGTTTTCTGAAAAGGTTGATTTAGTTTGTTTTTTAATGTTGTTTGATTACTTTTTTTCTCTGCATACGTGAGTCTATATGATTTTCATTCTGATGAAAGGTTTTTGTTTTTGTTTCTATCATTGTTGTATTCATGTGTTATTCTTTTGTATCACTTAGAGATTGAACTAGTAGACTAAGATAGTTCTCTTTTTCTTTTCTTTTCTACTATGTTTGTTGAAAGAAATTGAAAAGGATTAATAAAACAGATATGAACATTTGATTAGGAAAATATATCATGAACAGTCTTGTCAGACGTAGAAAAGTTGATTATTTCAATATTGAAATACTATTAATCTGTGTAGGATTTTACATAAACTTAGAACTATATTAGAGATGGCCAAGCACTACAAAATTTCTTTTTTTTTTACATTGTGATATCTATTTTCTTGTCAATGATAAAAGAAAATTCTTTGAAACTTATATTATAGAGATCATTTATTCTACTGGCAAAGGTAGTGATCCAAGGTAAAAGTAACCAAAACCATGGACTTTCGAAAGGAAACTTTTAACATAAATAGAACTCAGAAGGTCCTAATACTAGACACTAACCTGCAGTCAATAGGATGACAAAGAACGGAGTTCTGAGTTAAACACTACTTTGGCCTTAGGACATCCGAATCTTTATCATTAAAGCCTTTTTGTTTGTGTGAATGTGCTCATTCGTTAGCTGTATATCTAACCTTTCTATCGTCAAAGTTTTGTTCGAAATCATCTTTATCTTATTGACTTCTTCATTTGTATTTGTGACTCGTTTGTACAGATATATCAGTGCCATTAGATAAACTAATTATAAGTGAAAGAAGCATTAATCATTTTTTTCTGAAAATTTTTTGAAGAATCTTCATTAGTCTAGGAAGATTTTCTACAAATTAGAAAGTGATAACTATTACTAAACAGAATATATCAAAGAAACTTCATGCTAATAGTATAAGGATTATTACACAACGAGATCTGAATCTGAAACAAATAGTTGAGTGAAAAAAAAAACCTAAGAAAGTTAAATTTTGATTGATAAGTGAAGTATCAAGTGTTTAATGTCTAATATAGAAATATCACTTGAATTCTTGGAGATTGCGACGTGTGATGAATCTTTGCAGTATTGATATGATGTTTATTCGATAGCTCCTTTTCAGCAATAGTTATCACTCACTAATTTGTAGAAAAAACTTCCTTGATTAATGAAGACCATTCAAAAATGTTTCAGAAAAATGCTTGAAATCTGTCACAGTTATAGCTAATTTACCTATAAGTACTGATATGCTTGTGACAAACGATTCTAAAATACAAATGAAGAAGTCAATAAGACAAAGATGATTTCACACAAACGAAAATATTCGGATAATAGAGATCCGAGTATTCTGAGGTCAAAGTAGTGTTTGCTTCAGAACTTTGCCAATTGTCGTTTTGTTGAGTGCAGATTGGCGTCTACATTTAAGGTCTACTGAGTTCTCTTCATGATAAAATTTTCAGTTCCAACGTTTCAGATTTTGGTTAGTAAGGCAAAACTACTAGCAGTACAAATTTCATTGATTTTCTTTTAGCTCGAGTTGAACTATTCAGGAAATATCGGTCGTTAGAGAATCTCAAAAACTGAAATTGCTTTCGGTAGAATTGAGAGTTTAGTATTTTACTATTGAACAAAGCGACACACAATCAAACTTCTTATAGAGAGGTTCTTCAGTTCTAAACAAGCTTTCAGAGTAGTAAATCATTTCTTAAGAAGTATTAATGCATCGAATAACAAAATGAAAACATTGTTCGTTACAGAATTTCATCTTTTTCTCGAAAATTTCAATGTTAGTGAGAATGAAAGTGAAAAAGTCAAAAACAATTATATATTCACAATCAGTACCAAATAGTGTATTTTTACTAGAATTCATTCAATACAGTTCATCGACTTTTCTGACTTGAGAGATTTTTGCGAAAAATAAAAGTTGAAGTTTTGATTAACTAAGTACTGCCTTTTATTCAAAATTTGAGTGATAATGCCATATATATCTAGATTATTGATATTGCATTCTCCATTCATCGGTTATTTGTTTTATTGATAGATTTACAGAGACATGATACTAAATAAACAGAAACGATCTATTAAACCTTTTTTTGTATTCATTTTGGAAGATTACAAATAACAGTAGAATTTTGTGGGTAAGCTGATGGCTGATACTTAGATTCACTCATCCTAAAATTCCCACCCGATGTATATAGAAGACTTAATAGTAAGAAAAAAAAATCAAAAGGATGATTAATTAGTCAACAATGCTCCTTGAGCTTGTTCCAGTCAAATAAGATGACTTTGAGCGATAATTTAGTGTTATTGGTTGTTTCATAAACTTTCAAGGTTCTCGATATTTCAGTATGCAAAACTTTCTCCCTTCGATCTTATTCTTTTCGCGCAATTAATACTTTCACTTTCTTTCGTACACACATTCATGGCTTCTCTTTCGATATTTTTTAATCTCAACTTTTTCCTTTAATATCTTTCTTTTCGACCTGTCGACAGCATATCATTAATATACTCATGCAACTGATGTTCCATTGAAATGTTACAGAAGGTATTGTAAAATGTTTATTATGAAATTTAGTTTTTGTCCCTTAAAAATGATAATACATATAGAAAAAAGTCTTATTAATTCGAGGAAAATAAAATCAATAATTAATTAACTAAGTATAGTTTGTTCAGGAGTACGATGTCCATGTGAATCAATAGCCGACATTTCATCTATTTGTTTTATGTGAAGTATTTGTTTGAAATCCTACAATGACAAAAAAAGAGGATATACAAAAACAAAATATATTTTAGTAACAATAAAATCTGACCGGTGCACGATATTTGCAACAATTAGCAACCATATCTGCAATTACTGGATGATTAAGTAATGCAGATAAATGAATCTTTGAAGAACGATCAATTTGCATTTCATCCCAAACAGCATAAAGACGTTCCTAAAATAATTTATATATCAAACTAGTAGCATCATTTACAAAACTAATCTAACTTTTGACGCAAAATCTTCTGGATCTTCAGTTGTAGCAAATCGATGTGTATCACCGAATTTACGTTCACCATGATGTAAAATCTATTGAATATTAATAATTAGAAAAAAATATATCAATATTAATTCATGTAACTTACTTGATGGAGTCCATCAACTGAAACAAATCCATCATTAGATGTCTCTATTTCGTCTTCCTGTATTTGTTCTCGTTCTCTCTCTGTTAATCGTTCATATTCTTGTGTATTCAATATAGCACAATGCATATCAACTTGTGGTAATTTCTCTTTTAATGTAGGCATGACTGTTCGTTCAGCTATCGCTAATGCTCGACAAAAACCATGTAATGGATTAGGTACAGCAGCCATATACAAAAGCATATCTTCATAAGGTAATAGTGAGGCATTATCGTCAAGTGCAAATAAATCAAACCAAAATTGTTTTAAATTATATTCACGATTGTAAGGACGTGGTAAAGATGAATCCTCAGGTGTTGAAGCACGTTCCATTATAAACCATAGTGGAATCTAAGAAGAAAAAGTTGTTAGTGCTATATCTCTGTAGGATTAAAATGTAAGATATGACGGAGTTTGCTGTTGTTAATCACAGGAAGATTGTTTTATTCTATCTATTTTGTATTGGATTTCTTCATTATCTTTTTATTTAATCCTTCAGAAATGCAATAAGAAAGCATTTTATGTATTAGAACGACGCATTACGATCTTTGATCGTACATCAACAACATCTATTACAGTCTGTGATGCAGAAGAGACATGTTGCTAAGGCATTTATCACGATCTGTAGCCAACGTCTATCATAGTATGTCATAAGTTTGCAAGATATCTGCCATGATTTATGAACAAGAAGAGGTATGGAAGGTGGGACCAAATTTCTAGCTCTATACTTTAACACTTCGTTTAGATCGTGTTTCACAAAAAATAGTACGTATACATGAACAGTACTAAAAGATCGAAAGAATACCTCATTAAAAGTTGTACGAGAAATGAAGCCCGAATGATCATTATCACGTTCAGCATATGTAAAGAGAAGATTGAGCAATTCTTGTTGAGTAGGATGAGGCCAAGGTTGCGAAGCAAACAAAAGCCATAAACGCCAATTAATAAATTCAGTACCATTTGAAAGCATTGTAGCCAATGATTCAATCTAAAGTTTTCAATAATAATAATTTAAATTAGATTTACAATTTATAGATGTACCTGTATTTGATCTAAATTTGACCATGCTTCAGGTAACAGTCGTTGACCTACAGTGACTGTAGTCAGATCTGAGTACAAATCAATAAATGTCTTAGTTGAAAGAAGACCACTTGGTGCTGTTAATGTAAACTAGAATTTTTATAATTCGTTTTTGTCAATAATCTTTTGAATAAACTTATAGCTCACTTGTTTGAAGAGTTCTCTCAATTGATCGATGGTAAATAGTTCAGGCGTTGTTTGTTCTAAAGGTAATGGTCGAGGTGGAGGTATTGGTGGTGGAGCAACAATAACATCCTATTAACAATTTATTCATTATTATTTGTTTTTTGTAGAAAAAAAAAAAAAAAAAGAAAATTTATTTATTTACTTCAGCAATAAAGAATGAATATCTATCAAGAACGAGTTGTTGTTCAATTTTTTCTTTTGATTCAATTGCATATCGAATTAGTTTAGCCATATTCTCAATGCTTTCAGTCTCTTGTTTATATTTTTCACCAAGCCATTCATACATACGCGTATACGTTTCATCAGCTTTATTTTTTAGACTTGTAATAGAGCGAGAACCAACATCACGAATGAGCATTAAACGTGCTTGACAAATACGTACTAAAAACAAATAAATTATATTATTTATGTAAAAGCATTCACATTTGAGTAAAAAAAAAAATGATTATTTCTGATTTTATGATATTTATATCCTAGTGATCATAACTGATGTAAGAAGAGCACTTCACCCTTATACGAATGATGAATGCAAAGAAAATATTTGTTCCACTTATTTTGATTTAAATAAGAAGTTAAATAATATCTTACCTTCATAACTAAGAGCAGCTAAATATTCTTCTTTCATTTTAGCTCTTAATTCTCGTTTAGCCAATTCTTCAGGTGTCACTTCGACTAAACCTAAATACAAAAATTTGATTAATTCGTTCCTTTTGGCTAAAACAAACAGATTGAAATGCTCATTAATTACAAATCATTTTTTCTTTTGTTCGCGATAAAAATAATTCAAATAAATTGATTTTCAATCAAGTTTTATTTCTATATCATAAGAAATACGTACTTTCTGGAGGTGGTTCATCTGCTTTTTTTGCTCCTTTTTTGCCACCTTTTCCTGCAGAATCTTTTCCACCAGCACCTTTTTTATCACCTTTAGCATCTTTACCACCACCTTTAGCATCTTTACCACCAGCAACTGTAGCAGTACCACCCACAGCTGTTGCATTCGCCGTTGTATCTATTTCAGCATTAGCTTGTTCGCTAGTAAGCTACAATTAAAGATGAAAATAATGCATATTATCAATCTTAACAAAAGACAAACAAACCATATCATTAACATATTGATTAGCTAAACGATGAGCATCAAAAATAAGTCGTTCATCCATGTCTTCTGGCGGTGGTGGTGATGGTTCACCAGCATTAGGATCATCAGCACGTTTTTTAGCTGCTGCAGCTTGAGCGGCACGTTTCTTATTATCAGTTGTATCAAATGCTGACAATGGTCGACGAGGTACCATAGGTAATCTATAGAAAAAGATAGATATAAAAATTAAATCTTATACTCGAACTCGTCTTACTTTGGCTTAATATTTTTCACTGAAGGATCTTGTCCAGGCGATTGTGCAGTAGAATCAATCGATTGTTGAGCTTCTTTATCTTTTTTACCAGCTGCTTTTCTTCCACCTTTTGGAGATTTCGGTGGTGATGGTGTTCGTTTACTACTTTTACTTGCTGATGAAGCTCGTTTGCCTTTTTTTGGTGTACCAACTTGAGAACTTGCCTCAAGATCAACATTATTAGTTGCTGAACCCGGTCGTTTTGTTGCATCATAATCAACAAGACTCTCGGCAACTGAAGGTGGGCGTTCACCTCCTTCCATTAATTCAAATAATGGTAATCGAGCATATTCTTGTTTTATTTCATCAGGTATTGGTTGTTGCATTGATTTATAATAATCACGAAGCATACGTAATGCATCTTGATATCGATCAATTTCACTCTATATTAATATTTCGAATGATTATTTGAAGTAAGAATAAAAATCAAAAAGACTATTGTTTTTTCAAACCTGCATCAATGTTATATAATGATTTGTTAAAAGACCTAAATGATCTGAAACCCATCCATCAGTCATCACAATTTCTCGTTCTTTTTCAGATTCTTCTTTACGTTGTGAAGCTATTTCATGTAAAGTATCACTTAAATCTTCTACTCGTTGATGAAGTTCTTGTTTAAATTCATCATCATCACGTGCATCATCTGGTAATGCATTGAACTCCTACAATTTTGTTTTTTTTGTTTGTTCAAAAAAAATTATCTCAAATACAAAACAAAAAATTACTTTAACAAAAATATCAACATATTCTTGTTTTGCATCAGGACGATCAAGAATAATTTTAAAGTTGACTTTAGCATTATAAAAATGATCAACAAGATGAGAACGTTCAAGACGAATATTACGAAAAACAATTTTGCATGCATCTATGTAATTCGATTCAACGGCATCATAATAATTTGAAAGGATAATAGCAATTTCCTTAGAGAAAAATAAATAAACATTAATTAATAATGAATAATGAGAGTATAAAACTATTTTTACTAGATCAATAGGTTCTTGAACATAGATCCATTCTTCCGAACCAGGTTTTGGAGGTGGTGGTCCTTGAGGTTCAGATGGTACTGTTCCAACTGTTGGTGTTGGTTCTTCTTCTAAAGAAGTTTTAAAAATAAGCAAAAATTAACATGTTAAACATATGTTTGAAATTATTTTGTTTTACCTTTTTTACCCTTCTTACCACCAGCCTTCGGACTACCTTTCTTTGCAGCACTAGCAGCTGGTGATCGATCTTTTTTGCCACCTTTTCCACCTTTTTTAGCTGCTGCTTCTAGAATATAAGAAAAAAAAAACAATATGAATTAAATAAAGATATAGTAAATATTTTATAATAAATAAAATCAAAATGCAAACGAAGCAAAACTATGAATAATTAGTCACTTTTCGATGATTTTTTCGAATGAACAGAACTATTTGTTCTATGACGATGTTTTCTTTTTTTTTGTTTAGTTTTCTTTTCATTACGTTTAGTTAGTGGTCTTGATTTTCGTTTAGAAGAATGATTACTTAGTGAGTTTGAATAAATTAGACTATTATTTTCTATAAAACGAAGTTTATGAGTAATTGAAATATACAAAATATTCATAAGATTTGACACAAAGAAAAGAATAAAATAAAAAATGACATACCAGCTTCAGCAGCTTCTTTAGCGGCACGTTCAGCAGCAGCAGCCTACAAAAAATAAGAACTATATCATGAAATTGAAACATTGTAACATACAGCTTCTGCTGCTTCTTGTGCTCTAGCTGCTTCTTCTTCAGCTCGTCGTTTAGCTTCTAATTCTTCTTGTTCTTTAGCTAAACGTTCACTTTCTGCTCGTTGTCTTTCTTCTTCTGCTTGTCGTATTTTAGCTTGTTCTTCATCAACATGTGTTTCAATAGCTCGAGATAATTCATGATACAATTGTTCTTCATCTAATGATGTATCAGATTTTGTTTCATCAACAACAACAACTTTTGAATATTGAGAATAGAATTTTTCTATTCGAGGATATGAATCTTGAAATTGTGATATACGATGTTGTAATTGTTCCATATCATTAGCAGCATCTTTTGTTGGAAATACTTGTTCTTGTCCATTAAACCCTGTTGCAGCACCTATGGGAGGTGGATTATATTGTTCATGAAACTCTCGATTAGCTAGTGGAGCAACTAAAATAACAAAAACAAAATGATTGATATAAATGAACTTATAACTTAAGGCGATACAAAGTAGTAATGATAGTATTTTAATACTCTATAGAAAGCTTACAGACGCTATTTCTCTTTATACATTGGTAGCTCAAGTAATTCTTTATAATTTTACAGTATTACGTCGTTCTTCAACTAATATCATAGTGATGAAAGATTTAATTGACGAACAATGGACTACTACAGAAATACAGAGTATTACTTGTACGATCAGCACATAAAGAGAGAAACCTTCTTTACGCTTTATATATGGTATAAAAATGCAAGCGCTACTACTTTGGACATGTTCTAAATAAATATATTTACATGAACGTCCAGCTGCACGTCGAATAATAATATCATTTGTGACATGAAAAAGAACAACAAGATCAATAATTGATTTATATGGTTCAGGTGGTGGTGGTGGACGTGGATTAGGTGCCAAAAGAGGATCGAAATCTTGTGGAAGCTCTTCTTCATAGCCTGATAATGCATTTTCGAGTAATTTTACTTGTTCATATGTTGTTGGAAATCCATCGATAACCCAACCTTCACCGTCTGGAATTCGTCTATTTTGTATGTGGATGAAGAAAGAAGATACATAAAGAATTAATATTTATAGTTCAATATCATACCGAAGACGTTCGGCAATAAGTTGTACAGCCATACGATCACTTAATGATTCACCGAGTTTCATTGATTGAACAATAATTGAGCCAAGTTTAGCACGATCAGTAAGCTATAAATCATACAAAAAATTTATTGAGCATTTTTTTAAATTAATCTAACGTACTTTATCCATTCGATTTTTCTTGTTACTCATTTGTTCAGTATCCGTAGTATCAGTAAGATCATCAAGTGTCGGTGGAGGTCCTGGTGGATAGTCACCACCAGTTGTATCTTAATAATATTAGAAATTAAATTGAAATATAAATAATTATTCGAAAACATAAATAAGCAAAATCAGCGCATATGAAAAGTTGAAAAGAAAAAAAAAACCTGAAAAAGAAGTGTTCGATGGAATATTGAACAATGTAAATGATTGTTTTAATTTTGTCTTCTTTTTAATTTTATGAAGTTTTTTCTTTTTTTGTTTTTTCTTAGCATTATTATTCATATTGAATGTATGATAATTAATAGTAAATGTTTGCAAACATGATGAAAAACTACGATTGTCTTCTGTCTTTTTAAATATATCGAAAATATCTTCATTTTCAATATTTATATAGTACTTTAAATGTTTATCTAGATTGAGCTTTTTTTTTGTCTGTATGAACAATAAATTAAAAATGAAATTCACCTGTTTGATCACTAGATTGATTTCCATGAGAAATAGGAACATTATCATGATCAATCTTTGTTGAATATTCCATATCAGTATCATCCATCTAAAATTATAAATATTATTAATTAATCATCATGTATGTATGTATGTACGTATATATACTAACTTCATCATCACGCATTTCACTATTATTAAATGCTTCAATAGCTTCATGTAATAATTGTTCAATATTAAGAATCGTTACACCATTTTCTAGAATAGTCAAATATTTTCAAATAAAAAAAAAAAATATCAATTATTTTATATTTCTAAATTACAATCTTGAAAATGTTAGAACTCATATCTTCTGCTCAATACAACCTAAACATTAATGACCTTTATTGTTCTAAAGTCATCGTGAAGATACATCATTCAAGAGCTAAATTTTTGTAAAACGTGATCTGAAAGAAGTTTTGCAACATAAAGGTAAATATTTGGATCTTTCACAGAACTATGAGGGAAATCTTAGTAACATCATCTCTCGCATCACATATGTAGATATACGAGCATAGACCATATATCAATAGTATCTTTTAAGAATATATGAACTACATTCTTATTACATTTGTGAAGGATTAAATAAAACGATGATGAAGAAATGTGTAGCAAAATAGATAGAATAAAACAAACTCTCTATGAGTAGTAATAGAAGTTACATGTGTTTCATGTTTTAATCCCATAGGACTGTATTATTCACAGTAATTCTTTCATATGATTTTCGAATATTTGCCTTTGTTTTCGAACTGTAGAAGAAATCTATTAAATGCACTATCAACTAGATATGCATCGAACGCAAACTTCGATTCATTATTCGAGAATTAGCCAACGGATTCCAACAGTGCTAGATATTTAGTTAGTTTTACAAGCATTTCTTGCGGTATATGGATCATCATGGAAGCATGAAGGAACAGCGTTCTCAATTAGATGAGCTACTTCACTTCCCAAAATATCCAAATTTCTGCCAATTTTTTACAACTACATAATAACTTTAAACATAAATCGAATTCAGAAATATCATTTGGATTTCTCTGACAGAAAGGAAAAGACAAGTAAGCATACAATGTTATTTGTTGTAGAAGGAAATGGATGACTGATAGGTTTCGTTCTTCTCCTTCGGATCAGTATTTCTACGACTCAGAGAGTACAATCAAATTTTTGCCGAATGTTTACTGTCTCGTATCCCTATAAAATGTCGACAACTCTGTCATAGGCTACAGTCAAGTTTAAGCTCGGATATTTTTAAACATTGTTGGTGTATTTCTAGGATAAATGTAAGTCTTCAACTTTTGAGTCATGTTTTTATTATCTGCAGAAAATCCAAATATACGGATCTGGTATATACTTACTGTCGACATCGTAAAAGAAGCTATTTATGTATTATAGAATTACTTTCGAATACGAATCCTTTCGTAGCTTTCGAATCATTACGAGTTCAATAACTTGTATCCGTCTTGCTTTTACAGCATCAAAGATTACTATAGGCTCTATATATTACTGTTCAGAAGATAGGAGTTGCTATATTTTCTGTGTTTTAGTTTTAAATAAACGATAATTACCTTCACCATATCGTTTAAGTGCTGTTGATTTACCAGCAAAAGATTTTCCCAAAACAATAATCTTAAGTCCAAAAGCAGGAAATAATGGTGGTGGAATTTTATCCTTAAAAAAAATAAAATTATTTTAATCAATAATAATTTATTAAAAGACCAAAAAAAAGAAGCAAACATACAGCTGGTGGATGTACAATATTATGTAAACGATTAACAACATAACCAAAAATAGGATTATCCATAGGAGGTACATGTGTAATAGCTGTTGCAGATTGACTACCTGTTGGTGGTTCCCAATCACCAATCATATTTCGATATTCATTAAAATCTCCTTCATCTAATATTTTTAAACTTTCTTCTTGTAAAACAGTTTGTGCATGAAGTTTTTGTTCTTGTCGATCAATTTCATCTTGTTGAGCTTCTGATATACGTTGTTCATCATCAAAAAAAGGTCTATCACCAACAAATAATGCATTCCATTCACGCCATACTTTAGCTGGTATTAAACTATGAACAATAACACAAATATTCGAAAAATTCATATGTATTGTTGAATTAAAGATAAAAATAAAGTTACTTTTCAGTTAATTGCCGATATTCTCCAATTTTTAATGTAAAATCAACTAATTGCCATGTAATACGTGTACAAAATTCAACATTTTCTTTATGTTTAGCTTCAGCTTTTTCAGCTTGAAGAATATCATGTAATTCTTTGTCTTTTCGTACTTGTTCAGCATATTCAAGTCGAGCTAAACGTGCTAATTCCTAAATTTGAATTATTATTTTTTTTAGTATTGTTAAGTTTTGATATAAAAGAAAGAAAAAAAAAAAACTTTTTTCTACCGCTTCTCGATCCATAGCTTCAATAAAATCTTGTTTTCGACGAATTTCAAGTTGTTTTTCGTATGCAATACGATTTTGACGTAGAATATCTTTTTCATGTCTAGTTTGTAATAATTCAACAGCAAGACGTCGTTCAAATTGAGATTGACGTAGCAAATGACTAACAAGTGATTCTTCACGTTTTGAATCCTAAAATTTTATTAGAAAATATGATTTAATTGTTATTCAATAGATTAAATTCAATTACTTCAATAGCTTCAAGTGCACGAAGTTGATCAACTAAAACTTTTCGACGTCGTTTTTCTCGTTCACGTCTTGCATGAATATCTTCTTGAAGACGTCGTCGAATTTCAAGTATATAAGGATCAACTTGTCCCGGTTGTAAAGGTTTTGTATAAGTGACTAATTCATATGATGTTGTTGTACCCATTTTACTAGATTGATCTTTATTTTCTTGTTCATATGGAGATGATAATTCCATATCGGAAAGATTCATTGATTCTCTAAACATATGATGTACATGATGGACTGTAAATATCTTTATGAAAAACAAACTTAATCATTTGTACTCTAATCGAAGGTAATGGGCATATTTTTTTTATCAAATATAGAGAAACGTTCATTTTTTTTTCATTAGAAAATCATGAATAAACAACTTTTACTTCGATATGTATTAAAACTTTTTACGGGTTCTGAAAAAAAAACATAGACAAGTTCATGTATATTTTTGTGAGTTTTACGTCGCATGGTAACACAAAAAAAATTATGACAACCTTGATTCGAAAAAGTCAAAAGGATGCATTCAGACAGAAATGGTCGAATAAGTCAAGGCAAATGTCCAGCATAATCTCAATTAGCATCAATGCATTGTTTCAATCTTTCAGAATGAAGATTCACACACTTATGTAACTGCTTGAAAAATACCTGCCCAATGATGAAAAACATTTCTTCCTCAGCTCGAAAATTTGCTAAAATGTAGTACTCTTCGACTCTTGAAAGACATTAGGAACCATGGGTCAGTATGAGAAAACTGTACATGTAATGTTATTGAGATAGAAGAAAAGCAAACCATGAATCACAATATAAAAGAGACAATCGGTTATATGCATCGTAAAAAGGAGATGCACAATAAACCAATCTATTTATAGTATTTTATATCGGTATAAAATGTTACACTACCGTATGGAAATGAATGCCGACAATTGAAAGTAGTCTCTATTAACATTTTTCCTATAGAGAGAAAAACTTTGAAAATTCTACTACAATTGATAAAAATATCAATTCAATATCTTCGAGCCGAATGAGGAGATATTCAAATTTTTTATCGTATAAGTGTTTATGGTCGAACATGTATATAGATTATGATCATGTCTTGTTTCTAAACTTGTATGAGATCAGTATAACAATAAATGGGTTTCTACAATTTGTCTATTGAGATGATAAAGTCTGAAGCTTTTTCCCATTGATTCTATTGTTGATATCCAAGTTTACTTCACACATAAAATTCTCTTTGACAACGATGAGAAATCAAAAATTCAAAAATTTTGTATAAGTTTTTTGTATTCATGATTTTAGCTTTCATCTATCTTTAAATCAGAATAACTAAAAAACTCTTCTACTATCTTCTTAATTAATGTAATTTTTTCTTTCATACCCTTGTGTATTTTCATCAAAACCTTCATCGTCATCAAATTCAGTATGTTGTAAAACACGTTTTTCAAAACGTCGAATATCATTCATTGTATCCTAAGTATTAATTACAATCAATAAATTTAATTAACAAAAAAAAAAAAAATATGTAACAATAAACCTGCATTTCTCCTTCTTTTTTTAATCTTCGTTTTTTTTCCAATGCTTGTTTCGAAAGAAGTGGTGGTGTTTTTGTAATCATTACAACACTTGCTCTAAATAAATAAACATTAAAAATTATTATTTATTTTTTTGGAATTCTAATAAAAACAAATAATTTATTGAGCTAGAATAGCATGCAAAGCAATATAAATAAATAAACAATAGACCGAACAATATCGGTAATCATGCTGGATCAATATGGATATAAATAATGGAAGAAACATGCAATACATGAAAGAGAATTAACTTACGACATTGGCTCGATTTCGAGCTCATAACCAAGATCTTGTTGCTGTGATCTAATGAAATTCTCACTCGAAATTTTTTTCAATCAAGTCATTTGAATATATTTTAATCAGAAAGTAGAACATAATCAATGTCTTACTTTATTTTAGCCATCATTTCAGCATCTTTAGCTCGTTTTTCTTTTGAACGATTGAGTAAATATTGTCGTTTTGATTCTAAGTCTTGTCGTTTATCTTCTTCATCTTCATCTCTATTATATAGAAACTTTATTTTTTTTTTTTAGTTCTCAAATCTAAATTTTACTTTTGTTTATTGATAATTTCATCTTGTCGTGCTTTGAATTGTTCATGTTTAGCAATAAGCTGTTGTAAACTAAGATCACATTGACGTGTTGTTTTTTTCTTTATTAACTAAAGAGAAATATCCTGAAGGTATATTTATTTATATTAACAAAAACAAACGTTTTGATATTGTTGTGATTCGGCTTGTGCTAAAACTTTAGTTGCTGGTGCTTTCATTGTTTCCATAGCTACTCCAGTTAAATTTCGTTTCTTTTTTCGATTTAAAGCTGTATACAATTGATATAAAAGTTGCTGAACAGCACCTTTTTCCATAGTCATTATTTGTCGAGCATTATTTGTATTAAATGGAATTTCTAGTAAATGAAGAGTACGTTCAATTCGTGTGAAATTATTTAGTTGAGATACTGAATTTCTGAATAGAAAATATAAAAAAGTGAGAAAATGAAATAAGTAAAAAAAAAGAAATTTTATTAAATTCACTAACTTGCTTGTACTAAATTGAGGAAAATCCTCTTGTAGACCATATTTAGAGAGAATTTCACCGAATAGATGACCAGTAGCGAATTCACTGGCTAGACTATTACTTGACTCTGATAATAGAAATAATTTATAAAAAAAGACAAGAAGAAAGTTAAATTTTAATCCAAAAATAATATACCGATTTTCTTCGACAGTTGAACATCATTGTTAAGCCAGTCAATAAGAATATGAGCCATGTTTTTTTAAAGATGAATTGTCGATCAATCCAAAATATTGATTAGTATAACATTAGTTAAATACAACCATTTACTTTTACTTGTTAGTTTTGGTTACTAAGTGACATCATACATTAGTATTAAGTATGAAAGAAGATCTCAGAGTAATTTTTCATCTATAGTTTATCAAAGTTAAAAATAAAAAAGAAAATTAATTTTTGATTCATTTTTTTTTTGTTAAATTATTGGTATCTTACTTAATTGCGACATCTATCTTGCCTTAATTATTACGATAGGTACATATACGATATTTAAATTCCAAAAGAAATATTGAATGATTGTTGGAACACTTATTATTTACATGCTGTTCAATAATCGTTTCGAGCAAATAACAATAAATGAGGACGAATGTCCAACATGACTGGTCTAAAATGTTCACAGTAGTTGTCAGATGTAGTCTAAAAAGTCTTGTATATTCGTCAGAACTGGTCGCTTTTCCAAGGAATGTCCTTCAACTATGTCTCGATTAATCTAAAAGCTAGGTACTTTCAGCGTAGACTAGTCAGCAGAACAATAAAACGAAAAAGAAAGTGGGAGAAGATGCATTTGAACATTTAATCTCACAATAACAGGGGTGATATAAGAATCAAGAGTTTTAGAACAATCATTTAGTAATGCTCGACGTCACTTTACTAGTATAATTTTCATAGAGAAGAAGAAAATTACTGAAATTAACACGGCGTCCTTTATCAAAACACTCGCTATTAATAAATGATTTAGAGCTAATTAATCATTAATATACTATCATTATTGAGAAATATTTGTGCTTTTATTCGTTGTATTTCAAATCAGTTTCACTTGTACTGTGAGTAATTCAAACCATCTGAAACGACACCATAAACTGTCTAAAACGGTGGAGAACCGATGCGATTACTGCCTTAAACGATTGTCTTTCAAGATTGTTTCTATCAAAAACCTGTGCATGGCAATAGGACTATATTTTCATCATATACTGTTGTATTTACACCGCGTTTTGCTGCACACGACTTATTTTCATTACTTAAATTGCGCTTTAGGTAGCATGCTATTTATAATTTCTACTGTATACAGGAGTATTTCATTACATAAATAGCAGTTCTGGATGCGGATTCACTAGCACCAGCGATATCCAAGATAGATGCATAAAAAAAAGGCGCACATACACGGAACAATCATGTCTTCTGTGTGCAAAAGTGCCATTAAACACTTTTAAATAAAGTAGTTTACTAATGAAAGAAATTATTATTTCAAAGATGTATTTTTTAACAAATAACTCATTACAGTCGTTTTGCATCGTTTCTCAACATCTATGAATTTGTTTTAATATGCAATGAGCAATATCATTGACACATGGATAGATTTTCTACTAAGCATCTAGAAAAAAACAGAAAGAGTTCTATTATCTATGGAAAAAATGATGAACGAGGAATAAGCGAGTATGTACTTGATAACTCAATATTAATACCATATGGTAAAATGTAGATGTTTTTGTACAGCGCTTGTCATATTGTCGAATATATTTCAACAAAATCTAACCATCAATGCTTAAACCAGCTCAAGAAAGTTACTTGAGGTCTAATATTTACAAAAAAACAAAACAAAATTTAAGGAAAAAAAAGAGTAAAAGACAGTTTTATTTCAACAAAACACTTCCGTGAAACATTAGAAATTGATTCAACTAGAAACGGTAGATAAGATCATTTTGATTTATCTACGAAACATCATGAAAAAATCCCGAATGCTATTGATGAGATACCTTGTTTCTGAATTACATATGACAATGAATTGAAAACAAGGTATAATCGGTGGTCTGAACAATAATTGTTTCTGTTAAGATGTAAACGATGCTCGTATCAGATGTCATTTGTTCGTTTTTAGGCTGTATTGTAAAGGATCATTCAAACAGAAGTCGTATACTGCTTTTTATGAATCATTCTATCCAATCTGTGTACATCAAACGATACTTTTGACAATATAGACAATTTTAGATATGTTTGAGATCAAGTAATTTCTGCATTTCTAGATTAATATGAAGTTGAAAAACTTGTTTGTCTTTCTTCAACATAGTTTCTTCTATCATCATCCTTGTTATTCTGTTTTTAAATTAGATATTCTACTCCTTTGTCTTTTTCACATATTGAACTTGTGAACGAAAGACGGATAGGCTCGAAGTAATTGCAGAGAAAAATCCAACTCAAAACATCGATCAATTTTAACATTTGACCGTTTGTTTTTTTTTCCTTTTATTTTTCTTTCTTTTTTGATCATATTCTCGTTTAATTGTATGGAAGTGCATGCTGAATCAGTTTTTTAGACTGCTATTACATGCTTTCTTCATCTAAAATACAGTAAACAGTCCATTTTTAAATGAAACTATTCATGGTCATAAATTAGTAAGATAGTCTTCTCAGTACAACAGTAGAAACCAATGTTAAATAAACTTAATCATCACTATTGCCACTATAATGAAGAATAATCATTGTAAAATAATCAATATTTTATCCCATTTCAGCTCACGATTACTATTTCTATATATCACGATTAATCGATAGTTTTTTAGCAATTTCAAGGGCGTGTAACAGCATACGCTCAAATACGATTGATGTTTATCATGTACATAGACCATCGGATTCCATGATAAATAGGAATTGATAACATTGAATCATATTTTTTTATTTAGATTTATCTTAACAACAAATTTAAGAGCAATTGTGAATTAAAAATATTTGATTACATTTGTTTTTATGTCAATTGATCGCATTAACAATTTCAATCATAAGTGTTTTATTTAGTGCGATCTATTTCAATAAAATATTCAAGAGTAAGTAGTAATTTGAATAAATAAATAATTTTTCTTTTGTTTACGAGAAGACGAGATAAGAGAAAGTTGCCCCCCTGCCCTCTTCACACTGAGGAGAACCTTATGTAAGTATGGCTGTGAACGACATCGGATGTGATATCACAACATATCGGCTTGTCCACATAACACGACACTTCGCTGATTAAGTTTCGAAAAAATTTCTTTTCGAGTTGGATAGATTTGAATGAGTTACTAGATGCAATTTTTAACGCTGATTACGAATTTGAGACCTATTTTATACAAAAATTAGATTTTAACATTGAAAACCGGGTTTTAAACTTTTCAAAAATCGTGTCTTGGATTTTCTAATCAAGAAATTTTTTCAAAGAAAGTCGAAGGACATACCATTCGATGCAGAATTTCATTTTCTATAATATGGCCTATTTAATTTCGACTTTTATGGCTAAGGACAATTTTTAGACTCTTATACAGTTTCCAACTTACTGCGTCTTTTGTGAGCTTCCATGTCGATGTATCGATCTCGTTCTTATGTAGAACGATTAGTTATACAAAAAAGACTAACACTTATAAAAATCAAATCATTCTGATCATGTTAAGTGCCTCAAAATTGGTCGACAAAAAACTGTGTCACAGCGTTACGTTTGTTTTTTGCATTTTTTATCTAAGCAAAAATATTTTAGAGGAAATTTTTTTTAGCGTTAAAAAGCCCATTTAAAGCTCTACAAAACTGACTCTAGAAGTGCTTAATTTGGAGTAATATTTTCACAAGAAATTGCAGTTTTATTAGCGGCTCTGAAGAAAAAAGGTCTTTTTATGTCACAGTGTTACGGGGCCAAAAAACCTTTCTCGAAACTCGAGACTTTTACCGAAAAAAGTCATTTTTATGGCATAAATAGAGTTTGACAAGCTGTGTCGAATGGCGTTTGAACGAAGTTTCTAGCTCTCATAGTTTCAGAGATAATGGAAAAAAGTGTGTCAAAAACGTCACAGAGTTTCGTTTGGACAAGCCGATATGACCGTTTGTGACTGTCGTAATTCTCATCAAGAGTATTCGTGTTTCTATATATTTGATCATATTCTGTGTTCAATTATGCTTCATATCAGAATAAGTATCAAGTTCTTTTCAGAAGAGTAAAGAGTTCTAGGCTTTTATGTTAAAGTAGAAAATTACATTGAAGTATAAAGAAGTACATGCAAATAAAAAGTATACCAATTACTTCTCAACAAAAATAGCCTTTTTTTTTGCTCTTTAAAATTTATTAGGCTGTAAAGTAAATGAGAAATCATTTACTTTAAAAATAAACGTAGTATTTGATAATTTATATTTTGTTTTAAGTGCAAAGTTTGCCGATATAAATTTTAGAACATGTAAGCCACATAGTTTTAGTTCACTGGTAAGTTCGAATCAAGAAAATCTACATTTAGTACAACGATGATATGAAAACGAATTGAATTTTTTTTCAATATTTACTTTATTTTTATGTTTAAGTTTATTTCAATATAAAATAGTTTTTCTAGATTTCAGTGATCAGAAAATATTTTTTAGTTAGCCTTATTCAAATTTATCGAAATAATTTTGTGTTATATGGCATACATCTTTTATTCTTATTCAAACTTTGAAAAACATCTGAGTAAAATTGTATTAAGTAGAATCTTGGAATATTTATTGGCATGTCAAAGTTGATCACTTGGTTGTATAGTTTAATCGACTAAGCAATACATAGTTGACATATTGTATGCATGTTCGAGTCGAATCGTCTTACTTATACTTTTATCAGTTACACTACTAGTTCGATCTCGATCATAGTGTTGTAGATCTTCTTGCATTTTATTTATTTGCAAATACTTTTAGATCAGCGTCAGGACGGTACGACATGGCTTATCTTTTTCTCAAAAAATTTACACAAAACAAACAGTATGACGGTTGATAGTTAAGCAGTTAGAACGTTAGCTGTAGACTACAAATAATTTTGAACTCGTGATGCACTAGAACTTTTTGATGGAAAGACTAAAATAAAATGTGACTTCTCAACTAAAAAAACGATTAATTCTTTGAACCGTCTTTTGCTTGCCTGAGCAGTTGGTTTTTATAAGCATATTAAAATAAAAAAAATCAATTAATTTTTGAGAGGCGTGTTGATTCTGTAGAAAAAAAATAACGAGATCTTCATTCATAAAGACTTAAGAAGGAAACGCATGCTGACAAATTAATAGACTATTCATCATTAGCTATACTCATTGATATTTAGAATATAACAAAAAGATTTTTCTCCTTGAAATGTGTGAATATTCAACAACTCATACTCTGTCAAATGCCATGTATCCAGAGAAATCACATGATAATCATGATAGTATTCAATAATCTAGAATCTTTTTAGATTAATATATGAATTGTTTAGGATTTTGTGAACGTATTCGATAGTAACATGAGGTCATATAGGACGGCTTCGATAATTCTCTGATTAGAAAAAAAGTTTTCTTCTTAAACTTCATGTATTTGTTTAAGCAAACTCATATATTTCAAAGAATTGTTGATTCTGCATTCTCACATATGGTTTTATCATCTTCTGTATGCATTCTTTTTCCTCTGTCAGTGGCAATAACGATGAAATCCTTAAGCTTCGGCGACAAAAGCTAGAAATTTACGACGATTTCGAAATAATTTTTCTTAATTTTGAAAAACTTTAAAATGAAATCGCTATTAACAAAGTGCGCTGCAACCATCATTTAACTCGAAAAAACTATGAATTATAAAAGCTTTTAAATTTTCTTTTCATGAGATCTACACCAAATCATTTCCTTTAAAAACTCATTGATAAAAGAATTGAATATTGCTTTGATGGATACACTTCAAAATACTCCAAGTCACTGTAACCCATGCTTCAAGTTTACATATAAAAATAATATTTGATTCTTTCATCAGTTAGTTTTTGAATAAACTAGGTTGATGTAGGATTTCATCTTTAAAGAATTCGAAAGTCTATCGACTAATAACCCCTTCACGTTAAAAGATTGCTAGAATGGATTGGAGCGTATGTTCCTAATATTCAAATGAAATACATGGAACATTATGCTAGAGAATTGACCTTATAATTGGTTGGAAATACGAAAGCCGTACAACACATTTTTCTCGAGTTTTAATGTAAAAACTCAAGCTTTTGAATAATTTTTCGAACATCACAACTCAATGAATGGTAGGCATCATATCAATCCGATTTGAGACATACAATATCATATGACATGCTTAGTCATCTAAAATATGCCAACTAAATGAGAAGCGATCCTATTTTTATTAAGCTGATTAAAATCAGAATGGTTTTTTTTTTAATTTTTTTACATGAGAAAGGCATTGCCGAAGATTGGTACTAAATATTGGAAATCGAGTACTTATTTTTGTTTCACGGAGGCAGTTGTGCGGTCGATCAGCTTATACTTCTAAGTATGGATGTAGTTTATGCATGTTTACCTCTGCGAAATCGTTTTCTTTGGAAGATTAAAAGTTTCATAATAATAAAAACAATGCTTAGAATACGGCATAAAGCCTAATGGAAGCAGATAAATTAAGACATATATGAGAACAAAATGTTATAAATAAGAAAGTAAACGGTAAAAATAGATCGTAATGTTCTCTATCGATTTTCGATACCAATAACCCCGAATTAGTCTTATTTATCTTACGTTGAAAAACCTCTTCTATCTATCATACAGGATTACGTGCCAAAGAGCGATGAAAACGACAAGAAACATTTATCGATTTTTATTATTAACGATAGAAACTGAGTCATTTTATAATTGTTTTAACGGTTAGAATAATCTCCGTAGGGTATATGTGCGTTGATAATATAATATACTTGATTCTATTCTATTTAAGTGATTTTTTTGTCATATTTAAGTGATCAGACTATCAATTTTTTCTTTCAATCTATTTTGAATAGCAATATATTGAATTTTGCGTTTGACTTTTTTTCATGTTCAGCAAAATTTATTTTTCTTTATTAATAATTTCGATATAAATAATAAGTAATTTGTCATACGAGATTTAATGATGATACTTAACTTCATAAATACATTTCTATCATTGACAAATATTTCTACTCAATAATTTTCATTATTTTTTCTTTGTGAATTATCATCAAATTAAACTTCAAGTATCTTCATTTTTTTCTTTTCTTTTTAAATTTCTGTATCGCTTGACATATAACGGAAATATGAATCTTTTCTTTTTTTTTTCTTTCATAGTTTTCTCATCGTTCATTTCTCTTCGCACATACATTTATATCAACTTATACTACAGTCGACCATGTTAGCCCATATTTGCTTATGTATTATGTTAATGACAATGATTTCTCTTAATACGGTCAATTCAATACCTGTTTCAGCAGCAAATCTTGACAATCAGAACAAGCAATTATCCGATCCATTCATGCTTGAACCATACGGTATTGGTTCAAATCATTTTTTGAATGGTGGTCTATATGATGACGATCGCATCGATGAAGATGAAATACTTCCTGAAAAACGGCAATATAAGAAGAAATGGGCAAAGTTTTTTCAAGGAGCACAATCACCTTATACAATTGCTTTTCCTGCACTCATTCGTACTCGTAGATGGATCCAAGAAGAACAGTAATACTACTATCAATATATTTACACACAAACTCAGTTTATTGTATTTGTCTGTTAATCAACAAATAAAATATTAACAAATAAAACTAATAAACAGTTGATTTCTTTTTTATTGAAGACCTCTCCTCGTTCCCCTCAAAAATTGATTATAGGTCAGCTAGGACATTTTTAGCACATGCTGAGACTATAATGAAGAGGCCATGCTAAAATTGTCATTTCTATACCATCATGTTTTCTGGTGGCGTTCAATCAACCAGGACCAAACATAGAACATTTTGAAAGCCGAATATACTCTGAGGACCTTCATTTCATACATTTAAATGACAGAATCTTCTATTTAAATCTTTACTTTTTAAGAAGAAAAAAAAGAATGAACTGTTTAACATCGTCAAAAACCTTTCAAAAAACGGCGTTCTAATTATAAAATCCTTCTGTTATATAATATTGGCAAAGTTTAATTAAAAGAAAAGAGACTTAATCATGCTCTGCAGATTCACATGCTTTTTCTTTTCAACCAAAGAAGAAAAATAGATGATAGTAAAGTTTGTTCAAGAATTCTGGAATACACAATAGTAAAAAACAAACAGAGAAAAAACAATAAATATCTCCTGCTTTTTCTGACAACACCATATTTTTCAAGTAGATGATGACAGAAATCATCAAAAAAAATTTCTTTTTTGGAAGATCCGAAATACAAAAGCAAAAATCATGTCGCTCATAAAAGATCAAACTTTGAGCTATTTTTTCATGCATTTATCTTAATTTCGATAATTCTCATGAAAATTTAACTTTTTTTGAGAAAAGGACTTAACTCAAGTTATATCATAACGTTTCTAATCTTAGATTAAGAAATAGATATAAATGATAACAATAACTGCATAGAATATGTATGAACGATTCGTAAGGTAAGATATTCAACTATTAATAATATATCAACTAACGACGATTAATATGTCGACAAACGTCAGTAAATTATTACTTCTGTTTTTGTTCTGGTTTTATGCTACATATGAATCTATTGAAAAATTTTTGTTGATTTGAAACACAATTTGTACTATGATGACATACAGACAAGTTCATTTCTTTTGTTCACACTTGAATTATTGAGCATATTATGTCAAATGAACTATTTCTTGAATGTCCATGATATCTTCAATCTTTCCGTCTCGTCAATCTTAATTCTAAGATTTGTCAAAACTTCGTCTGATAAGAAATTCATTTAATATTTCTTTTTGGACTATCAATTCATCTAACAGCTAATCAAATATTCAATGTAAAATAACACTCGAAAAACTAATTTTGATATAATATGCATCTGTAATTATTATTGCTTGAAAAAATTAGTTCGTTTTATTGGGTAAACTTTGCATGTGAATAGTCTTCATCTTTATTCATAAGATAGGTATGTAACGATGGTACTATTAGTCCTTTCGGTTGAAATTGATAAAACTATGAACTTACGATAAATAAATAAAATTTGATTTGAATAGGACTTTCTTTTGGATTATTGTATTTAAAAATTACTGCGCTCAATTTTTAATGGAATATATTTAACAAGTTATTTAAGGCTTCATCTTGTGTTTATTCCTACTTTTTTTTTATGCAAATTTTATACATTACGCATCAAAAAAATAATAAAACAATTTTTGATGATAGCTTCCACAGTTTATTCTCATGTTTTCGTTCTCAATATGCGTTTGTTACAACCCTGACACACTTCCTATATTTTAAGAATGGAAATAACTACTTCATTGCCGAAGCTTAGAAAGAATATTGGAATATCCATAGAACTTTCCTATAAGACCTCTCATTATATAAGTTTCTTTTATTCATATATGTATGTAGTATTTCATTTAACGTACTAGGAATTCAGATCGTTCTAAAAGGCATGATGTCAATTTTTTAAGATAAACAAATCTTATATCCATAGAAGTAGTAACTGTCACATATCTATAACTAATCTGCTTGAACAATTTAGTTCTTTTATAAACAACTAGATGAGTGAGGCCAGTTCAATGCCTTGATTGCAAAGTGTCATAGATCTGTTATTCATCTAATTTGTCTTAGTTTTTATATTGAAAATATGTTCGGCTTTTGTTTCTTGGCTACTGTAGCTTGCATCTTCTTCATCTACATTGGAAGTACTCACGATGCGCAATGCTGGTCCTCCAAAGCTTGTATGGATCCTGATACTTGCGCTGCTAAGGGTGGAATTTCTCAATCAGAACTTTGTATTGGTATTAAAAATGCTCAATGTTGTTCATGGTAAGATGAATATCGTCATTCGCCTTAGGAACGACTATAATATTTTTTAGTCCGACTTGCATGGATGTAGCAAGTTGCTTAGCTAACGATGGAGTACCCTATGATGGTCTTTGTCCTAATGCAACAAAGCTTCAATGTTGCAATATGAGATCTACTTCAATATCTGTTCGTGGTACAACACTAACTCATAGAATGTTAACAGATTTAGCTGATATTCTTCGTGGTGCTGGTCTGACTGTTGTCGAAATTGACGGTTGGAAGACACGTGGTCATGGTAAGATGAATTCTGTCAAAAGTATCCTTATTCATCATACAGCAGGTCCAGCTACCGGTGATTTTCCTTCATTGGAAGTTGTTCGCGATGGTCGATCAGATCTTGTTGGTCCACTTGCACAGCTTGGATTAGGTCGTACTGGTACATGGTATGTCATTGCAGCAGGTCGTTGTTATCATGCTGGTAAAACGATTGATGACTCTATTTTCGGAAACTCAAATGCTATTGGTATTGAAGCTGAAGGGACAGATATTCCATCAACGGATACTGGACATGCATATTGGCCAGAAATACAATATCAAAGCTATGTGCAAGGTGTCAAAGCTCTTCAAATAGCCTATGATATGCCAACTTCACATGTATTAGGACACAAGGAGGCAGCTGTACCTACTGGACGCAAACAGGATCCTAACTTCTCTATGGATGAATTTCGCGCAGCTCTTGATTAAAATTATCAAAAAGTAATTTACTTAAAATTTTTCTTTTGTGTTAACAAGTATTATTCGTTATTAATAAGCGTTGAAAATACCCATTTATAGTTATTTAATTTGGATATTCTAATATATTTTGTCCAAATATATTGGATCTACTATTTATCATGTAGAGCTACATAAGTGTAATGAAAGAAAAATGAAAATGATTTTGTCGAAAACGGCTTTTTCTTTTCCTTATTGTTCGTACATAATGTGAGAAAATGTAACACCAAGAATGTAATGCAACAGGATTACGTAACAACTCTTGAAATAAACAAAGCAGAAAAATAGCAATTTGGCTTTTCAATACATATCATATACGATCGGACAAATAATTGCTGCATAAAACATGTTGATAAGCAAGTTCATTCTATTTATTGTTTCGGTTGGCAATGATAAAGAACTATTTCCAAACTCTTCTCATTCGTTAACATTTACACCCTATATATACGCCCGAAGGCAGCTCTTCGGAGGACGCTATGTGTTCCTGCGCTGCATTGCAGATACAAAAAATTAGATAACATGACAGATTTTGTTTTTAATTCTTAAATAATTAAAATCAATTTTAAAGTTTGACATATATGACAGATTTGGACGTATTAAGTGGGTGTATAGGAAGTGCGTACAAATGGACGTATAGAAAAGGACGTAAAAAAAGGTCGTACAGATCCGGATATATTAAGTCAGATGTAAAGAAAAGAAAATGTCATTACAAAAGTATGATTTTAGTTGAGATTTAACCGTATTTTGAATTTTCTGAAAAAAGTCTTGTTATTGTTTTTATCAACAATTTCCAAAGAAATCATAAAGCAGATTATGTACGGTAAGTGATTCTATGCATCGAAATAAGAATATTAACATGCTGGCACACTATATTTTATAATGGAAATTATTTATTACCAATAGTTATGCATTGGTGCATTACATGAAAATGTCACATCACCAAAAAAAAAAAAGAAAACAGAGAAAGTACATTTGTTGTTATCGATTATATGTGATTGAAAGTTGACGGTGTGACACTTGCACGGCTTCACTCGGTGAATCAGGATTTGTTTTTCTTTATGAATATGTACACAGTTAATAGAAGTAGGAAAAAGAAATCATTCCAAACATGTGATGACAACAATACAAATACAGGTGCTTTAGTTTTTCATGATCAAATTGTTTTTTTTTCGTCGACATCTTCTTAATCTCATGCTATAGACATCATGATTTAGTAAAATAATATCGATTCATGCATAAAATTTCTCTTATCTATGAAAGCCGTTAATTTGCATGTCGCTTTTCTCGAATATCTCAACGTCAATGCTCGTTGATTTTTTCCAAAACTAATAAATTGTATTGTTAGAGACAAACAAGATTTTTTTTAATAAATCATTCATTCAATTATTGCTATCATCAGAACGTCGAAGATATTCAGTTTAATCTTTAGTTAATATCATCTGTTTTATTTCAGATACATACATATTACTTACGATATCAATACTTCGTTTTCTGCTGACACTCCTGAACAAACAAAAACAATGCTTACAGACTTAGCTGATATTCTTCGTAAAGCCGATCTCACTGTTGTCGAAGTTGATGGTTGGAAGACACGTAGTCATGGTAAGATGAATTCTGTAAAAAGTATTATTGTTCATCATACGGCTGGTCCAGCAACTGGTGATTTTCCTTCATTAAATATTGTTCGAGATGGTCGACCGAATCTTGCTGGTCCACTTGCACAGCTTGGATTAGGTCGTACTGGTACATGGTATGTCATTGCAGCAGGTCGTTGTTATCATGCTGGTAAAACCATTGATGACTCTATTTTCGGAAACTCAAATGCTATTGGTATTGAAGCTGAAGGTACAGGTATTCCATCAACGGATACTGGACATGCATATTGGCCCGAAATACAATATCAAAGCTATCTGCAAGGTGTCAAAGCTCTTCAAATAGCTTATAATGTGCCAACTTCACGTGTATTAGGGCACAAGGAGGCAGCTGTACCAGCTGGACGTAAACAGGATCCTAACTTTTCAATGGATGAGTTTCGTGCTGCTCTTGATTAAAATGACGGGATTGAAGGCTTAGTTCTTTTGTATAGTGCGTCTCAATTGTATATGATAGTTTTTATTAGTTGTCTTGTGTTAAACAATAGGATAAATAATTATAACATGTATAATTGAAACAAAACTAAACTGAATTTCATGAATTTGTTTAGGCAAATATTTTACTCATATGATCAGCTCTATGATTTCAGATTAATTTATGAATAATCTAGTTTGTTTTAAGTTTTTTTTTTTTGTATTCTGAAATACTTTTTTGATACAAACACTTCAATTACAGAAAATTTTGCACATTCTATGGACTCTTATAGTTTTCATCACATGATCTAAAACAAAAACAATTGAATTCTCAATTTAATAGCGTTAAGAAAGCTCGATCTATATACTTAATCAAATGAGAGATGCATGTGTATATTTTTTTCAACCAATTTTGCTTTTCACAAGCTGTAGTGCTACATGTTTCAGTGTTCTAAATAACAAATTTGAAAACAAAAACTCTATACACATTCAATCTATCTATAAAACATACAGATATCATAGATGTATCAAATTTGTTTGTTACGTGCACTTGGTGGAATATTTATCATATATTTTCTCTATTTCATTCCGGATGATTGATATTAAAAAAAATAGTTTCTTTCCCAGAGAATTTGATCTTCCATGTTATTTTGTGTTTAACTCAACAATGAACTTTGTTATGTACAACACAAATAGCTCATAAAACGAAGTTAAATTATAATAATAATAATGTTCAACATAGTCAAGAAAGTGTATTTTATAGAATTCGATAAAGTTCAACATTATTAATTTCATTGAAAAAGAAACAATAGACTGGATGAGATCTAGAATATTTATATCAAAGCACTTGTTGATAAAATTTTTTAATATTATATATTAGACTTTTGTAGATGAAATATTTCACTTTATGTTCTTAAGAGTAATAAGTTTCGTATCTTTTCAATATTCTTTTTCTCAGATCATTTGCGTTCGTATTTCACATGTATTTTGAAGGTATCAATTTACATCTGATTGACGTAAATATTTCTGCAAATATACGTGAATATCAGTCGAACGAAGCCCAAAAATAAAACATAAAGAAGAAAAAAAAAGCAAAACGATAATAACGGTAAAGAATAAGTGTCAATTTTCTTGTCACATACTACATTTGAACAATCTAAAAATGTGCGAATAATTACGCATGTATCAATAAAGACAAAATTGTGTTTTTTTGATATTTCGAGACAATTAACTATCAATTATATTTAATTATTGTTGTGGAAGATAGCCGTTATTGTGCATAACTGATTATGGAATGATTCGTATTTTTAAACATCTTAATTCACGACATATATATATATAATGGTCAGTATGTTTAATTTTCCGTATTCTGCAATTAAATATATATTTCACTAAAAACTACATTCAACTTATTTTCGTTCTCATCACTGAATTTCAATATGGTGAATGAAAGGAAATTATTTGATACTCAGCACCTGACTAAGAAATTCAATATTCCTCCTACTTCTTCTTTGTATATAGCAAGATTTAATTCATTTTTAATGATTTTTCTTTCTCTAATCCGTTTTTTCGTAATGTCTGATACATATATATATACAGCACTAGCAACCAACTTGATTGGCATCGAAACAATCGTGGTAAGCAAATTACAGCTACTGCTACATGAAATCCTCACAATTCAGTAATATTTTTTCTTGATTTCTTTAGATAGCTGAGTGTCACATCAATTAAATATTTGATTCTTGATATTAATAGTATTGACACGATGTTTACTATTTTATCCATTGTAGCCTGTCTATCATTAGTGCATATTACAGACGCTCTCGTTCTGAATGCTTCATATGTTGCAACTGATGGTATCCAACCAAAATTGATGGTAACTAATTTAGCTACCATCCTACGCAATGCTGGTCTTAATGTTGTGGAAGTTGCTGGCTGGACGACGCGTGGTCATGGACAAATGACTTCTGTAAAGAGTATTGTTGTTCATCATACGGCTGGTCCAGCAAGTGGCGATATGCCTTCGTTGAACTTTATTCGTGACGGTAGTACAAGTCTTCGTGGTCCACTCTCACAACTTGCATTAGGCCGCACTGGTACATGGTATGTTGTTGCAGCAGGTCTTTGTTATCATGCTGGCGTAGTTACTGATTCATCACTATATTCGAATGCCAATGCTATTGGTATTGAAGCTGAAGGTACTGGTGTTCCATCAACTAATACTGGACATACACATTGGCCCGAAGCACAATGGCAAAGTTATGTACGTGGTGTTCGTGCCCTCAAGAATGCTTTCAATGTACCTACTTCACGTGTTAAGGGACACAAGGAAGTTGCATCACCATTAGGTCGTAAAATTGATCCAAACTTCTCTATGGATGAATTTCGTGCTGCTCTCTAAAATAATTCGGTTGAATTGTTTTCATCTTTTTCTCATGTTTTTTATGGGCAATGAGATTTTAAATAAAAGAGTATTTTTTTGCTCTTATATGCAATCTTTGTTTATAGATTTAATTAATATTTGCCAATAAATTTCACTGCAAAATATATAAATAGACTTTATTTGTTTGTTTTTCTTTGACATCATTCTCCATAACAAATAATCATAAATCATGAAAAAATAAAAAGGTCTAATTAATTACCAACGAGAAAGTATTGCGTATTGTATTTTTGATATAAAATATAGAGTTTATGGTCGGAACCATCCAATGAAGGTCGACATGAATAGTAGAAGAATAAACACTTATAATATAATTAGAAGTTTAAAATGAAGATACAAAATATTAATATACCAGTTGTATTCTTCTCAATACATTTTTGAATAATATTTATATGTATATCATCGCATGCTTCAAAAGTCGCATTCTCTACTTAAGAATATAATGTTGAAGTATATAAATGGTCAACTTATAACTCTGATTTCAACACTATTGAACCAGTATAGAACACTATCAAGCAGAAAATAAAAATAAAGAATCTAAATTCACAAGATGAATTCCACAATGCAGTCCATCAAGCATACAATGATTTATCAATAAGTGTTGTTCAATAAACGTATTGAACAGGTTTGCACACTGTATCAACACTTAGTTTATTGATTTTAAATTTTAAATTATATTGGAAGAGTATATTCCTGTACAATCCGTATCTATTTTCATAAAATTGTTCTATCCATAAACAATATATTTAATATTAAAAATACGATTTGCCATACTTTTGTCGTTGATAGTAAACACTAACTATGCTTCAAAACAACAATGAAATATTTTATATTGAATGCTGAGTTTTCATATGAAGTTTTTTACAAGTAGTTATGTTGATCCTCGTCATAACAGTTGTGAGATCAAAAAGAAATTCTACACCTGTTTGAAGACTTTTAATAATAACGTATCGATTATCAAGAATTCATTTATCAGTGATATAAAAAAACCATTTGACAATATTTTTAAATTCCTCATAATATTCATCGAGAGAAATATTTTATTGATAGTTAGAAAAATTCCTTTCACGGAAACAATCTATAACCTAGTCAGATATTTACTGTTTGTAATGTTTGATGAAAAATTAATAAAAAGCAAAAACAAAAAAAAAGAGTCATCGACGATTTATACATGAAGTCTAGTAAAATCAATTATGTTGAAGTATATTGATTATCATTTAAAAAGAGAAATGCTTTCGACCAAAAAAAAAAAGAATTATTCAATTTTTTAGCATATAACACACATAGGTTATTTATGAAAACAAGAGAAGAAAAAATTTTTATTGAACGTCAAAGAATAAATACAGATCTTTCGTTTAACAGAATATTCTTCTTGTAAAATCACATTTTCTCAATATAATTTATAACAGATCATCATCACTATAATAAAACTTCAATAATATATAAATAATCATATTTTAACCCATTCGACCCGATGAGACCCACCGATGGGTCTCACTATTCTCTAACAACATATGATTGCATCGAATTTTGCTTTTTTTGAAAACAAAAAATACACAAATTCAAATAAGCTTTATTTTCTAAATTGTAGAGCTTTTCACGCTGCGTCTTTTGGTATAGTTTGCTTTCCTAATAAAACATCTTTAGAGATTACAATACGAAATGCAAAGTTCTGTCAGTCATTATGGGTCTCATCGGTGGGACCTATCGGGCCGAATGGGTTAATTACAAAAATAATAAATTACTCTAGCGAATATGACTCATGCACTAGTTTCTAACTTATATTTACATAGGCAGCTTGCGCATTATGTCCATCCGTATATAGCCAAAAGCTTAAGATGTAAATATGTCCACTTGTCACTAGAATTGTTTGGCGTAGAAAATCGTAGGCATTTCGACACATGCCTTCATAACAATACGAGCCTGTGTGACAATTTGATTGAGTAATGTTGCCAGCTATTGTTCCACAATTGATACTAGAACAGAGTATTTGCCAACCAACTAAACTACCATTTTCAAAGCCTCCATTTACAAGCATTTCAGAATTGGATGCATTTTTATCTATAAGACTAACATCATCAAGATGCCAAGTCTTTACTTGATTTACAGCTTTAAAACCGAATTCTAATATGTTCATACCAGTGGATGTGGCTGTATATGTATACGTTTGCTTCTGATAAGTCGTTGGTGAAGTCGTGTATGTAATAAGATAATTAGTAGATGTATTACAGGAATTGTCTATAAAAATGAAACGAAATAATAGTTAACATCTATTATTAAGTATTTACTTGTAACAGTTTGCGAGACAGAAGTTGTATCATATGTTGTAGTAACAACAGCTGGAATAAAAGAAAATCACAAATATTGTACTAGACACTGTTATAATTCTTTAATATTATTTTTAAGTCAACATTCAAGATTTTCCGTTAAAGATTATTTCCTTTTTGAAACGAATTATTTGCATTATAGTTTTGAAAGTAAGAAATTAGTTAATAGTCTCTTCTTCACTATAATATAACTTTTAAGTACATCTATTTATGACTATTGAGACATTATGAATTTTAATATCATTGAGATATAATTTTTCTTTCATTTTTCCACACAAATACAAACAATCAAGACTTTTCAATAGATATCTTTTGAAGTTCTTTTCTTTTCCTAATCGTATGTGAAGGTTTTCACTGATGAATAGACTTATCAGAGATATTGTTCACTTCTTGTATTATCACTCTTCGGTTGTACTCATTCACATTTCTCTTTTCTTGCTGCATATCGTTTTGTTGAAGAACATTTAATTAATCAGTAACATTCGATCGGATGAGAAAGTTTTTGGAATTATTTTTAGCTCAAATATTCGATTCATAGGTTTCGACAAATTAACATTATCGTTATGATACAAAAAAACTTACTTGTATAACTTGTTGTAATCGTATTCGAGTTTTCTATTGTAGAAGTATCTATAAAGAAATAGGAAAACCATTAAATAAAAATGTTAATAATTATCTTAGAACAAATGAAAATTCGAATTCGAAAACGAAAACTAGAATGAAAGTGCATAAAATTTAGAAAATATCTATGTTGTTCTCATAGCTCTCAACATTGAAATAAAACGTATCATTTATTACAAGTATACTTTAGAAGTAGATATTTCTATCAAGCTATACAGTGTTTAGTATAAAAGAATCAAAATTATTGTACAGTTGCTTTTTTTTATCAACAATTTAAATAATATCAACTTGTGGATTATATTAGATCGAAAACTAAACATATGAGAAAATAGAAAAAAATGATTTGCGATAATGTTGTCTTTAAAATAAATATTTACGAGTTTTGAAATAGAATTGAGATATCATCAACTGAGCGTATTTATGCATTTTCTTAGCTTTTTACATCTATTATTTCTCTAAAATGAAATTTAATAACTAGAAAAATAAAAACAATCGTATTCTGTATTAATAATTTATACATTATTTTTCGCATCAGCATCAATATTTATGAAATGAACAAATCAGTTCGCTTTAATAATTCCTTAGCTAGTGAAATTTGTTTTCTGTATAATTTTGTTTCAAAAAGAAATCATCACTTCTTTTGTATTTAGAGTAACTATTTCAATTAATTTTTCTTTTATAACATAATTATCAAGTAAAATAAATATAGTTTTCTTTGTATTATAAAGGTGAGAAAGACACAAGTTAAAAATTTTCTATTCACATTATAATCTTGTTAATATGATTAAAATTTTTCATTATAAACAAAAGATATGTAATTTTTATATGGTGAGAAAAGTTGTCGATAGTTTTTTGAAGTGGAAGGAACTGGCAATTTGGCAAAAAATTCAAAAATAGCTCACAAAGTAGTAAAAATGATGATTGAGAAAGGAAGAAGAACTATATCCACCATGAATTAGTCCCTTCTACAACAGATGATCTGCAACTAGACCATCTCTCCTCTGCAGTGTCTAGAATCCTATGCACTTCGGAACGACATTGTTTGCTTATTTTATTTCACTTTCTGCTAAATAAAATGCAACCGTGTGATTCGAAATTTGGTTGCTATCTAAAGATACCATGAAACTACAAAAACAAAAATTGGCTGAATATATTAAGAATCTTTGTAGAAATCTGAATACTTCTGAATGAGAGCGAGGACTTTTCTCGGTTAGTGGGAAGCTCAAGCATGAATCAAATACCATCTGAATAATTAGCAATATTTGTGTTTTTATCCAATTCATAAAAAAGTGTGTAAATTTTAAAGCTACCAGGAGAAATCTTCCAACTAATTAATTGCTTTTTGAGGTAGAATTATGTACATCATGGAGACTCTTTGGACGATAAATGTCTGGAAAAGAGTTCAGATCATTAGTTTATTGCTGCGGAGATAAAGTATTTTTATGGTATTCTTTAGAGTCAATGCCGTGGTTTTCCTGTGAAGCGTCAGTAAAGCTGATTTTCGTAACTTGACCACAAAAATTGCATGGAGACAGTCTTTAATGAGAAAAGTTTATTGTGAAAGTTACTGATCTTTGGATTTACTCCTGTTCTAACATAAAAACTTCAAATTTGCCGGTGTATATGAGCGATATAAAAGACAGTTTTATCATCATGATATCTGAGAATAGAAAAAAACACTTAGATCTTAAACTCTGACAATAAACGATTCTGACTCACGTCAGTCTCTGTGTAAAGTTTGCAGTTGAAATTTGAAAACTCATTGTTTTTTGATGTTTCTGAGGAGGATTGTGGTATTGATTTAAAGAGTATTGTAAAAATATACTGCACCAGCAGCAATAATCCAAGGATCTGCGTTCTTTTCAAGATATTCATTACTCACTAGAGTCTACATGATGTATATTGTTCGGTTCATATGCTGTGCATCAAATAATAGACTTCTGTCATAAGTGTACGGTTTTTTCCTTTTGAAAAATGTATTAGATACTTACCGATATAACTTCTACCTTCGAAGCTTATAACAGTTGTATTTTGATCAATGGTCATTGTGTGTAGATATCCTGGATGTAGTGCTGCTGAGAACAGTATACATTCTTGATATAGACCATAATAATTAACTGTGACACAGTTAGATTCCGCATAGCATTGACAAATACATGAATCACGTGTTACAACGTTAGAAAGATTGGCCAACCAGTAATTAGTATCGATTGGATCAAATTTCGCATTATTGATTACGGCAATGCGTATGGCTAATGACAACTGATGGCAAAAAATGAGAAGTAGAGAAACATTCCAACGCATTTCTTTCATGATTTGGTCCTGTGTAATCAATTCTAAAATATAAATAAGAGCTGCTGTAATGCACAATGTATCAGATTCAGCTATGATTAATCATGAAATATTAACATGCAGTAAAAATACAGTATAATTTATGAAATGGATGATATTCTCATGTTTCAAATACATTATTATTATATTACGTACTTGAAGTTATATCAATAGGATGGCTACATCATATGTAATCATTATTAAAAAAAAGAATTTTATAATGCAACATATCTCATGGATGCTCTAATAATTTTCAGACAGACAAGAATTAAACTTCTACGATCAGCAAATGTATCAATAAATACCACATACCTTTGAACGTAAAAAAAAATGCAATAGCACTTAATTACAAATATAATAAATGTTAAGTAAAATTTTTTCTGTGCATATTACTTAACTTAAATATCAGATTGTTTCCTGTATGCATTCTCCTTTTCTTTACTTTCAATTCTTTTTTTCTGCCATCATCAATTAATGCGTCACTACTTAAAAATATTTTTATTGATGAAAATATGTGAGGACTATCAAGAGATATTGTTCGATGTGAGTTCCGCAAAAGTCTAGAGTCGGCAAGATCTATCAGACATACACTCTGAATAATTGAAAATTGACTATTATTAACTAGCAAAATGGAATCCTCGTGTGAAGTTCGATTGAATGATCTACTCATGGGCTCTTTGAGAATCACTAACGTGAAAGAAAAATCAACGGAGTTGCTATTGATTAACTTCTTCAAACTATGTTACATACAGAATTCTGAATTAGTCTTTCTTCAAAACTCATTTATTATCAATAAACGTCATTTACATTCACGAATTAACAAAGAGAATGAAATTTTCTTTTTCTGCTATCTTTCTCAGACGTATAATATAAATTGCTTGCTAAGAGTTAATTAACACAACCATATTAATAAAAGGTTCGATAAAACATTTAAAATTACTAACATTGACACGAGATGCAGATTGAACGTAAATAAAATAGTAACATTATGTATGTTTTACAACTACATAGTAGAAAAATCTTACTTTTTAAATATATGAATAAAATTGAATATTGAAATGATGTTAAGGACAAAATAGGAAATCAGAAGCTAGCATTTATTTTTACTACGATTAGAATTGATAATACATATGTTTATTAACCGAAAAAAACCTTTCATAAATTTTATAGACATAGAAAAAAAAATTTACTTTGAGTACATTTTAGAATGACAGCTAAAAAAACAAGAGATTCGATTATGAGCAAAAACGAAATTTTACATATTAGTTACATTCTCAGACATTGATTTTAGTCTAACACTTGGCTGTCATTTTCATTATCAATCTTATGCTTTGTCGTCAACGTCATATGTCACTCACCATACTATATTTTATTCACCATTGTGTATCAGTTAGTAAACAATACTTTTTTCTTTGTAAAGTAAAATTCTAATATCTACTTTGTTGATCAATTAAACAACATCATCAGTAGTGATTTCCTATTTTTTAACCTTTTTCAAACTGCGCGATATTTGTGCAACTAATAAATTTTCTGTTGATAAAAATACATTTTCGTAAAAATTACATTGCTAAAAAGTGAACTATCAGAGCTGATACCTGTCGCTTAAATTCATATTGAACTCACTAGAAAATCTTAGTAAGACTGGAAAAGTTCTGAAAGGATGCGTGCTCATGAATCTCTGGAGCCGAATGATGACTTTTTCGTTCAATTTTTGATCCAGCTTTAGGTACTTACCGAAAAATCAAAAGGCACAACTTCAACTTGAAACTTGGCTCATAGACAGCTCTAATGATTCAAAGAATATCCTAAAAGTTTCTGCTCGAAATTTCTTTATTGAATTTTTCGGTAAATATTTGAAGTTGGATCGAAAATTCAGTGAAACAATCATCATATGGCTCCAGAGATCCATTGGTACAAACTCTTTTAGCATTTTTCTAGTCTCATCAAGATCATCTTTTGAGTTCTACATGAGCTAAACGATAGGTATCAGTTCTAGCAATTCCATCGTAAGATTTGTTTAAATAAGTGTTAAGTGATAGATTTTCGTCATTACTAGGTTAAATAGACATCTAAATCCCGGTTAGGATGGCAAAATGCTCATAATTATAAAAATCAAACAAGTGCGATTAGATACTAGCCTTATACAGATAGTAAGTTTTACTTTTTTTCATTCTGAATTTAAGAGCTATCGGAAACAGTGTCATTGCATGATAATCAAATCATTCATTGATCACTGACTTATTTTGATGATTACTTGGTTTAAATACTAACAAATATAGTTGACGATCTTTTAAGGTTTTACGGTTGTGAATAGAAGGAAGAAAGAGAATAGAATAACCTTTACGTTTGTTCATGTATCACAATTACTTCACAATAGTAGTAGCTCTTCGAAAACATATATATTAACAATAAATAACTAGTGTTTATGATGACAGAAGAAATGCAGCTTCTTATTTCGAATACTCAACCACGTGCATATTTTTGAGATGACAGCAAAATGATACCAATTCGTGTATATATATATTTTTTAGGAATTAATAAGAGTAATTGTCAGACAATTAGTCCAGAGTAACATAGCAATTTCTATTACTGATCATATATTGTAAAAAAAAAAGTGCTTTCATAACATTCATACTTATAGAGAAGTAAAAAGAAATGAAGTTAATTAGAAGAGCGCAAGAATTGCAATGAAATTACATCATCACATAAAATATTTCTTCTCTAGCAATACAGCTTTTCATGACCTCATATTTCAGTTCTTTTTACTCCTTAATTAATGTAATTTTCAATTCATTTTTTGTTATTGAACTTCATTGTTAAATTTCACACATGTCAATGCTTATGTGAACGAAAACGTAGGAGTCACATTTTTCTAATAGGATTCTTGATATATATATACATAGTAGCATACATTCTATTTTAACCATTTGCATATAGAGATCAATTAATTTATATCTTTAGTTACTTGTTCCAGGACTTCAGTACTTAATAAGAAAACTATATGAAGAGAACTGATTCAATTCAACTAAATTCTATCTTTTAATGACAAATCAAGTGTTACTCTCGTTTTATAGAGCATAGTTGATATACGACATATGTTTTTGATTAATTAAATTATGTCACAAGAGAAAAAAAACATCCGTTAAGTATTGAAGCAGTTCATTGTTATCAAGCACTAGTACAATTTGTCCCATATAAACGAGAAGATACATTAATTGAATTGAGTGATTTAGTTTAGTATATTATTTAATTAATCATCCCTAAAAATGTTTTCCATTAGAGTCTAATAACTTTCTTGACAATAGTTTTTTTTCACAAAAAATGATAGGGATGTCAATTTACAATTTATCTAACCTGAATTTAAATTAAATACCAGTTTAGACTGATTTAAAAATTAAAAAAAAAGTTTAAATTTTTGAGCGCGAAAAATTTGAATTTTAATTAAGTTTAAATTTAAAAAAAATTTTTTTGAATGTAATAAATTGTTTTAATACGATTTAGTCATCGGTATTTGGAAAATATATAATCTAAGCAGTGATATATGAGAAGTAAGAGGGAAATCTAGTATTAAAGTTCAGCATCAGCTCATGAATATAAAAATTTCTGAACAAATCACACATGACTTCTGAACTTTAATCGTCCATATAAGAAAGATGGTCAAACATCCAAATTTATTAGTACAATTCGTAGAGGAAGGACTATTTTGATTTTTAGAAAACATGAAAAAAAATTTGACTTATAACACCTTCAATAAAGTCAAAATCGATTTGAATCAGCTTTTCCTAAAATTTCCCCACTTTAAATTCAAACAACTTAACTTAAGTGTAGCTTTTCATTTCAAAACATTAGTTTTGTAAATTTAAATTTTCAAACATTTATTTCTTGATTTAATATTTTTTTTTTTAATTTAAATGTACTACCTCTAAATAATGATATTCTAAGAACACTCTAGTGTTATAAAATTTAATACGATTATTTTTATTTAATGTTCGCAGCATCGAAAACTGAAAATCCATTTCGAAAATTTTCAAAAATACTTCATCCACTAATCGAGCAGCTGTGCAAATCACAGGAAATAGTCGCAAAAAATACTGAATGAGTCATACACTCCAAGTAGCAGTGAATTTTGCCTTCATTTCTTCTTGATTTTTCTTAGCTGAGGATTTCTTCAGAAGTCGTCTCCGGAAACAACTTGAGTCTCATTTAGTAGCAGACTATTTGCACTTTAACAGAAGGATTTTGTAAGCAATCTTTTTTGAGACCTAAATTATTTGTTCCTCCGAAGTGCGTCTTCTATCCATCATCTAGATCTACTAATTCCATAGGAAAGTATACATTTTCGTGATTAGTTAAGTCACACACTAAACTAAATCGCTTAATTCAATTAATGTATCCTCTCGTTTGTGTGTGACGAAATGATCGCGACGAATTGTTATGCAACGAATTGATCGGTCACCTTGTTATTATACTGATCTCATTATTGATTCGTCACTATGTTCAAACGTCAATACGATTGGTGCTGAAGATACAGATATTTCAGTTACAAACAAGGGACATGCATATTAACCAGAAGTACGATGATAAAGTTATGTGCGTGGTATTCGAGTCCTCAAAAAAATGCTTTTAATATACCTACTACAGTGTTAAGGAATTCAAAGAGGTCGCATTACCAGTAAGTCGCAAGATCGATTCCAACTTCTCTATGGATGAATTTCGTTCTGCAGATATAATCTGTCACTTATATAGCTGGAGATACATTGTTTGGCAATGTTCAATGGAAGATTAATAAAAAAAAGGAAATCTAATGAGTTATCTATGATTTATACATGAAGTCTAGTGAAATTAATCTAAAAGACATGATCAATCAATTGTGTTGAAATACATTGATTATTATTGAAAAAAGGAAACAATACTTCTGACAGAAAGAAATCATTCAATTTGTTATCATATACAATGCATAGATCATCTATGAAGTCAGTATCATCTATTTATAATTTACACTTTTCATCATTAACCAAAATAGTAATATAATCCGGCATTTTTTTAAGTCATATGAGAATACAAAAGGAGATCACAATCATTCTAATACAACTAGAACAATATATAAATAATAATCATATTGAAGTTACAAAAATAATGCACTAATTTAGTGAATAGAATTCATGCGTTAGTTTCTAACTTATATTCACATAAGCAGCTTGAGAATGATGTCCATTCGTATATAGCCAAAAACTTAAGATGTAAACATGTCCACTTGTCACTGAAAATGTTTGACGTAAAAAATCGTAGGCATTTTGACATGCACCTTCATAACAATACGAGCCTGTATGACAATTTGATTGAGTAATATTGCCAACTGTTAGTCCACAATTGTTATTAGAACAGAGCATTTGCCAACCAACTAAACTACCATTTTCAAAGCCTCCATTTACAAGCATTTCAGCGTTGGATGCATTTTTATCTATAAGACTAACATCATCAAGATGCCAAGTCTTTATTTGGTTTACAGCTTTAAAACCGAATTCTAATATGTTCATACCAGTGAATGTGGCTGTGTATGTGTATGTTTGCATCTGATAAGTAATTGGTGTGACATTATATGCAATAAGATAATTGTTTGATGGCACACATGGCATATCTACAGACATAAAATGAAAAAAACATAGATATTTTCGTAATTTATTTGCTGGTAAATATCATAAGCATAGATATAATGCTCAGTGCTGAACTCATGGCTTCAGTAAGACAAAAAAAATATATATAAAATTTATGAAAACTTTCTTTATTTCATATTATAATGGTTAGAAACGATCATTCCAAGGTGAAAGTTAACTCAAAATACACCTTTCTAACAGATATTATGCTAAGAAATCTTTGATAGCCATTAGGAACCAGTTTGAATTTTGAAAAGATCAATCAGTTATTATTTTCTCAAAAAAAAAAATCTTACTATTTTAAAACTACTCAGCATCGATAAGAATCATAAATTAACCACTGTCTGTCCAAAAAAATAGTGGACTCGGGTATTTTTGCAATAACTCAAGAACAGAAAGAGCTAGAGAGCTGCGGTTTTCACCATTGCGTAGATAAATGAGTACTCTATATATTCATCAAGACATGCTGGAGATTCTTGCTGTTTCAGTATTCGTCCACCACGAACCTTTCAAACAGTCCATTGCGCTTTTTCAAAGTTCTATGGAGACATATATATCTAAAGTATGCAAAACATAGCCTGGAGGCCCGTCTACAAAACCACGCAAGGCTGAGGTCTTTAGCTATTATGGTTCAAAATTGTCGCCTATTTTCCTGAGGTCCACGCAAATCGTTTTTTCTCAATGCGATAACTTACGAATTCATACAACAAAACACCTTGTTGATCATAGTATTCTTTACGGAAACTATTGTTCTGAATCTCAAACAACTCTTGTAATTGAAAATGGGAAGTTATATTATGCAGAAGGATTGTAGATTGTGAATATGTGATTAAAATGGAGAAAAATAAAAAAAGTGCAATTTTATGAGAATATATTGGAAAATGTCACTAATTTATATAAACGAACATTTAACTCTTATATACAGTATTTATTTCATTTTTGTATAGTCTTTGCCACGTTGCATTCGTATTCTGAGGGTCATACATTTCTTTTCTTTTCAAGAGTTTGGTCATTCAAAATTCCTTCTGAAAAAACAACATCAACAACACCAGAAAGGTGAACGTATAGGCACATACACTGATTCACTTTTTATTTAAAACAGACGATTATGGTTCACCTAAAGGATACTAAGAGTAGCTACGAAACGTGACAAAGACTATACAAAAATGAAATAAATACTGTATATAAGAGTTAAATGTTCGTTTATATAAATTAGTGACATTTTCCAATATATTCTCATAAAATTGCACTTTTTTCATTTTTGTCCATTTTAATCACATATTCACAATCTACAATCCTTCTGCATAATATAACTCCCCATTTTCAATTACAAGAGTTGTTTGAGATTCAGAACAGTAGTTTCCGTAAAGAATACTATGATCAACAAGGTGTTTTGTTGTATGAATTCGTAAGTTATCGCATTGAGAAAAACGATTTGCGTGGACCTCAGGAAAATAGGCGACAATTTTGAACCATAATAGCTAAAGACCTCAGCCTTGCGTGGTTTTGTAGACGGGCCTCCAGGCTATGTTTTGCATACTTTAGATATATATGTCTCCATAGAACTTTGAAAAAGCGCAATGGACTGTTTGAAAGGTTCGTGGTGGACGAATACTGAAACAGCAAGAATCTCCGGTATGTCTTGATGAATATATAGAGTACTCAGTTACCTACATAATGGTGAAAACCGCAGCTCTCTAGCTCTTTCTGTTCTCGAGCTATTGCAAAAATACTCGAGTCCACTATTTTTTTGGACAGACAGTAGTTCAATGTCCTTGACAACTACAAAGTCTTTTGAAAAGTCTACTCTAACAACGCATAAACAACTGTGAAATGATATCAAAGGTAGTTTTAGTGATTTTGATAATATAGAAAGTTTTTTGGATCAGAATAGGTAGCCATAGATCAATCATTGGTGTCAATCCAGAGAACTGTATGTCAAAGATAAAATACTACAACTGACAGGTCAGCCATATCTCAGAGATATTCTCAGAAGGAACCGACTTCGATAGTTTGGATATTAAAAATCGAATAAGCAACATATACAGTGAACCTCCAATCGTAAGTCAAGTAATGCATTCATACTTGTAAAACTGTAGATATTCTCGGAATGCAAGTGATGAAAAACAGTAAATAGAAATGCACAAGTCAAATCACTATTGACAAATATGACAGAGATTGTCCAACATTTTAAACAAAGTATTCATAATCAAAGAATAACCGCTAAGAAATGGACTTTCGCGTAAAGTAAGAAAAGTACTTGTTTGAATATATAAGAAAAGAATACAATCGCTCGACATGAAAGAAATCCTACAAGCCACAATTAATTATCAATCGTATGAGATCCTGTATAATGGAGTGATGCAAACAAAATGGAATTCAAATGCACTAGCATTTTCGCTAATCGAAAGCTAAGACTCGGTTGAATAATCACGGCGATCGAACTCTACGACAATCAAGCAATAACCTCACCGTATAAACATTCTGAGATTCTGCGTCGAATACTTTCAAAGACTATTTCAATATCTTTGTATTTCTACTGTGTTATTGTACTCTTGATCTTCACCCAGCACCACAAAGTAAGAATCTATCTAATAGAGGGATATTTACTTTCTTTCATGTTATCACTAATATAATTATTTCTTTGATGTTATTTTTCTTCTAGAAACTTATGAGATTACAATGTAGTATACTTTTGTTTGTTACTTGATGTATGAAGAACATAGTTGTTACTATGCAAGTCAGACTGCAGAGAGTATTTTTATCATAACTTTGTGTGCGTTTCAGAGGTCTATATATTTCTTTTGGGACTTAAATTTCAACTTTGTCGAAGTCTGAGACTTGTAGCTGTATGAAAGAACTCTATCATCTGGTAGATTTCTATTAACCATGATTTCCTTATTCCTATTAAAATTACTACCTAATTAGAATTGCTTAGTTAATAATACAGATATGTAAATTTAGAATTTGATACGTTGCTTTCTTTAATTATTTATTTAGACGAATATTGTCTGCAATAAACTTTTCATGGTAAGTTTTTTCATATGTTAACATAGAATAAAACGATATTAATGTATGTAATATTTAGATTGAAACAATTAATACAATATACTTACATGTAGAGCTTGCTGTGTTCTGATGCGTGGTCGCTGTTGTTACAGTTTCTAGAAAAGAAAATAAGACATAAGAATCATGATCTGAAGATAATTAAGTTGACAAATACAAAAACCGGCATTTGCATCCTTTACAATAAAAAAAAACTATATATATATATATTTCTGAATTGATTATAAAACAATATCAATGAAATTGTGTTCATTTTGATTCTATAGACATGAAACGATTGTCTTCTTTTCTCCTTGATTTATTGTGAAGTTGATGGTTCTACTCAAGATCTGAATTATAATAGTTTTTTGATTGTAAAATGAAAAAAAATAAGAATGCATAATAAGATTTCATGTTTTCTTTTTTTCTAATTTTAAGAGCAAATCTGATTGTAGGGGACTGATTTGAAAAATGCTAATCATCGTAGTGTAAAAGATATCTTACAAGGTGGATGAATAATGAGATAAACCAGTAACGTTGTGAACAAGGTGTAAATTAAAAACACCTGGTGACGCAGATTAAAAATTTAGTTATTTCTTCTTTTGTTTCATTCACTGAAAATCGTTCGATTAAAAAATTCTTTTATAGAATAATTATAGCATACAGCAAGAATTTTTTTTTTTAATGAACTCGAACGAAGAAAATAAATTGAAGCCTTTTAATGTTAAACAAAATGTTCTCCTTGATAAACAATTAAGTTTCATACTAATCAGCATAGACTAATTACGAGTTTAATATAAGTTTTGTTGTGAACGTTAAAATGAACTGATCTGGACGAATTTCAAAACATATTTTTGAGTCTGTATGTATAAAACCTTTCTTCTACTTACCGATTACAGTTCTATTTGGAAAGTTGATAACAACTGCATTTTCACTAGTGGTCATTAAGTGCAATTGTCCTTGAGATAGTGCTGCTGAATAGAGTAAACACATTTGATAACGACCATAATAAATAGCTGTACAACAGTTCGAATTCGTGTAACATTGACAAATGCATAAATTACGTGATGTTATATTAGAGATATTACCAAGCCACGAATAACTATCGATTGGATCAAACATTGCATTATTAATCACACGAATGCTTATCATCCATACTAATGGGTAATAAGAAATAAGAAATAAAAAAACCTTCAAAAACATATTGTTTAATAATGTGATACTAAAAAATAGATATTATTATTAAACATTCTCTCATACATAGAAATTATGCATTTATAAGTATAAAAATCAACTAATATTATTGTTAAATTTAGAGGTATTCAGTTAATCATCAAACAAAGTGAACATCACACGTTTAAACACCTAGAAGTAAAATACGAGAAAATACTGATTAAAATAAAATTGTATTGAGTTGAGTACCTCATCAGAGTTATAAAAAGTATGATATCTGAAAGATGAACTCGAATTGATAATCTATGAAATTAGTTTTCTTTTTTAATGTGAATTAACATAAAAATGTTGTATTGAACGACTTCACAAGCTTTTCACATTCATCTCTTCTCAAATAGAAAAAAGTTCATATTTGGACAGGAGTTCGAATGTTTTCATTCGAACGTGATTCTCTTTGCGACTTTGATGAGTTATTACACTTATTCAAGTTCTAAATAGAACACCATTTTCTTTTCTTCTTCCTACTGTAAAACCTATAGATCACTAAAAGATTCTATTCGCGACTTATTCAAGTTTCAATTGAATAACTTTAAGTTTGATGTTGGTACAAGCTATTTGATATTAAATCTAAGAGAAATGTGAATGCTTCTATGTTCAATTGTTCTATTTAGATATGAAATGTATACGTCAAGCCATTTTTTTTTCTATAATATCCTCTTATTTAACTTCATTTTAACAATACATATTTTTTTTTATAACGTATT